CTGATGTCCAGTTCAGAACCAGAGCAGTTTAACAGTGACATGCCTTAGGTGGCTTAAGTTAATTATCATTTGGCACTCTGAAGTTTGAGTGCTTTGGGCAGCCTTGCTTATATTTAGAGCAGGAAGATGTGTGTGTTCATGGCACATGATGCAGAAGAAAATCATATAAACCCAAATCTGAGCAGTGACTTTGGCACAGCCACGAAACAACAAGGACCCATCTGCAGCCAAAAATCTTCCACAAGATCTTCCTCCTAAACACAGCCACAAGGTGTGTCTCTGGCCTGAAAAACTTGAGCACCAGCTGGTGTGAGAACCTCTGAATTCACATCTCAGCCTTTGCTCCAACAGAATCTGCAAGCATGGGAGTGCTAATCCACACTAAATGCAGTCACTACATGAGAATTTCCAGCAACCAAGAGGGCAGTAAGGACTGACAATAGAGGCAACAAGTGAGGACTCTGAAAAGAGAGTCTCTGAGGGAATTGTGTACCCTCTGGGGCAGTGAACTACAGGTGTTCATGTGTCTGGGAGAGATGCCAGTGCTTTTTCCAGTAAAGAAAGGAAATTCTTCTGTATATTGGGTCTTCTATTTTTCCTTTTCCAGAGGAAAGCAGATGCATAAAGTCTGTCTCCAAAAGGGAAGTACCACAGGGCCTGAACTCATCAGTTGAATCAAGATGATTTATAGCAAAACCAGTCTATTTTCTCCAAGTTAAGAATACACTCAGTATTCTTAAATTTAAAAAGTAATTGACATCAAAATACTAAATCAGACAAAACTTTTCCCTTACTTCTGTAACACTATCATTATACAAATTGTATGTTTATTGTGCTATTACAGTGTGTAAAAACATCATATGTATGATGAAAATAATATTTTGTTGTTGTTTTTAGACTGGCACAGTTAGTGCAAGTTGTCCCACAAGCTAAGAAGCTCTCTTTTTGCAAGGTCTTTTGCAATTAAATAAAAATAAAAATCGGTCTTTTAGAAACTACCATGGTGACCTCTCCTGGTAGAAAAATATATGACCTCTAACCATGAAAACAGATTAAGCCTCAAAGGAGGTACACCTGGCCCATTTTATAGTTTCTTTTTTCATTCCATATCCTGAAAGATCTAGATGCCATTTACAAATCAAAACTGACACACAAACTACTAGATCATCAAGAAAACATTACAGCCTTTTGCTATAGAGGCAAAAGCCTAATCAAGAGGCCTTGGCAATTTTTAGAAACACTTTTTCAACAGAATAATCATAGAACCAGATAAAATTATAACTGTATTATTATTAGAGAATTAAAACTTGAGACAAAATGGGAGGATAAAATGCTACCTAAACCTGGGTAAACTGGGCAGGAAACTCAGCTGTAACTCAGGATCCTCTTGAGTGTTGCAAATACTTTATTCACAACTCTGCCTTGTTCCACTGCATTTGTTTCCCCACACACTGCACAAGAACCTTTTAATGCATCATCTCCTAAGTACTGCTGGATAGACCAGTGAGAAATCTTCCTCTGGTACAGATACAGGACCAAGCAAGGCTGGAAAAGCTACAGATTCATTTTCATGCCACACTACAGGCACAATCTGAACAAAAACCAATGCTGCATGCATTTAAGCTTTGTACATTGTTCAATAGCATGCACACTGCCATTGTGATCCATTTTTAACAGTATTGGAAACTCCAGGCTTCTCTCTGCAAGTATAAAAGATTCAGAAAGAGCTGTGTTCTTCATTACCCATTTTACTGGTGTTTACCAATACAAGCCATTGTGCCAATGCCACTGTCACTTCCCTCAAATGCTGGCTACTAAATACTCAGCAGAGGGAAAGAAACCCAATCAGGAATTAACAAATCTCATACAACGTGTATACATGAAAGAATTAAATTAGAGTATGTCAGAGCTGGGAAGAACTCTCCCAAGAGTGACAGGGAACACACAAAATATTTGGTAGCATGAGAACAAAAACATCCTTCAAACAACAACATTTCAAGTTCAAGACAAGCAATTTCACCAATCCTACTATTGTAGAAGTAAACTGATTTTACCAGTGAGGATCAGATGGAAATTTGTCTTCTGTTGTCTTCTGTTTGTAAGTACAAAGAACAGACATTTCCTTTGAACCCAAGCAAGAGCATCAAATAAAACAACCGTGGCAGAGGGGAGGCTCAGCATCAGCCTGTACCTGAACCTGTGGCTATGCAATCTTTGCAGTCATCTCAAAGACAAGAGATTGGCCTTCACACTGGGCTAAAAGTCACATCCTTTCCTCCAGAATTCACTTGAATTGTTAGAGACTTGAGAACATATGCATAGGAAATGGGAGGAGAGTAAACATTTGGGGCTTTTTTTACTCTTAGTTCCAGGAACTGCTTCTTCAGTCCCCTTTTTCTATTCTAGCTACAAACACTCTGACATTCCCTCCTTGGTATATTCATAGAGCTTGTCTGAATTGGTTTCACACCTGACAAGAAATTCTCTTAGACCATCCAGATGTCTTGAGAACATGAACATAATGACATCTTTGAAACACCAGGCTCTGGTGTCTTAGGACACATCTAGTGCTACATCTGTTACCAATGTCTCATCTCTACTCCAATGACTCATATTACCCAAAATTGTACTTGGCACACCATCTCACCCTCCCTACGAAAATACAAAAAAATTTCCATGTCTTCAAGTACCAAGTCCTATCCCTCTTGTCAGGCCTTAGCAACTTGCAACAGGACATTTTTGACATTGATCCTTCCCAACTGTTAATCTACCTGCATTTAATGAAAAGCAGTTTTCTCACAAGTGGGGAAATACTACAAACATCACATGCCAGTATTTATTTGCTGCTGAGGGCTATACAAAGAATCACAGGGTCCTTCACTCAGGAGAGAAACAAATCAATTTCACTTTGAATTTGATCCACTAGATGCTTTGGCAGAGACAAGGCAGAATGCACTTGGGGAGATAAAACTCTAGTTTTATGAACAGTCAGCTGTGGTATGAAGTACATCAGTGTAATGATCCTCCCAGGACTAAAGAGAACAGCAATTTCCACACTTCTGTGGGGTGAACACTTTCCTGGCTCAAAAGGAAGAGCCAGCTAGAAATTCCTTCAGGTAAAGGTTGGAAGATGTGCTCCAAGCAGGAGTCCAACCATTTAACTCCTGGCAGCAAGAAGCCTCCCAACTCTATGAAAAAGAACTGATTTAATTAGCTCTAAAAACAATCTTCTGTAATTGAAATGAATTCATTTCAGACCAAACCAAGTTTTAAGACAAATGCGTTCTAGGCAAGTGACTCTACAGTAGCCAGCAGAACAGCTACCCTGTGTACTGGCCATTTCTAGGAAGGAAACTATAGAAACAGCAGGAGGAAAAACTCCAGAGAGGCATCCCCAGGGTAAGGCTGTGACACAAGGAGGACAAGAATTGTTCCACTGACTGTGCATGATTCATTTGGCATGATTCATAGCATGGCAGTGCTATGTGGGCACTCTGAGAGCCACACATCTGTCTCCATCTTGTTACTCTCTGTCCAAAAATGTGTCTGATGTGGTGGTATTTACAGGGGTCCCATGATGAGGGAAGAGATGAGAATCTTGGCTCCATGTTTCAGAAGGCTGATTTATTATTTTATGATATATATATATTATACTAAAACTATACTAAAAGAATGGAAGAAAGGATTTCATCAGAAGGCTAGCAAGGAATAGAAAGGAATGATAATAAAATCTTGTGACTGACCAGAGAGTCCGAGCCAGCTGGACTGTGATTGGCCATTAATTAGAAACAACCACATGAGACCAATCACAGATCCACCTGTTGCATTCCACAGCAGCAGATAACCATTGTTTACATTTTGTTCCTGAGGCCTCTCAGCTTCTCAGGAGAAAAGATCCTAAGGAAAGGATTTTTTCATAAAATATGTCTGTGACACCTGGACAGGCATATTCCATCTGCACAGAAACACTCAGCAGAGCCAGGATCACTGCTCCCAGCAGTGCCTGTCCTGACCTGCAGTCACCACACCTCAGGGAGCAGGAGAGGACCACACATGACTGGCAGAACACCGCACTTTGCTTGACAGGGAGTTGTGGCTTAAAGGCCAAGCAACATTTGCTACAGGATTAAATTTAATCAAGACCTCAGAATAACTCCAGAATTTAATGACTCCTCAGTCAACTGCACACAAAAGCTGCACATGCTAATGTAGCCTAAGCCATAGGAAAACAAAGAAGTAACTGATTTTTATTTTCAAACCAGATGGAAAAGCAAATTCTATCACATTAAAATTCAGCATTTGGCAAAAGGAACCAATTATAAGAATACTGAGATCATCACACACTGAGATCAGAGGATTTGAGTGGCTAAAATACAGAACAGTTTGAAAGTTATTTACTCCATTTTTATCAAGGATGTTTAATCTCCATTTTTCACTCCCTAAAGATGAATAGAGGCAGGGGGAACACAGGAGGGGGGACATTGTCTAGTGTCCTCATGCAAGTTATTTGTACTTTTGATTCCTACCAAGCAAGCACCAACTTCAAATCCAAATCACTGGTGACAGCAGTGTGATAGGAGCTCTTCCTTCCTGTTCTGTAGAGCAGCAAACCAGGCTGACAGAAACCACCTGCCTCTGAAAAGCAATGTTCTTGGCCAAATTTTTACCATAAGACTTAGAAAATACACACTTTAGAAATTCATTCCTATGGAAAGTCCTGTTCCATGCTGCCTAAGACTGATGAACACCATAAGAGATATACTTTGGGAAAAGCAAGTTCATAAAAACTGGTAATCTAACAAGTGTCCTCATAGTTCAAGGATCTAGAAAATAATCATCCCAATTAAACTGTGACCTTTCTTTAATGAAAGCAGGCACTCTTTTAAATGTCCTACTAGCATGCTCTGCATGAGGATTTTTAACAGTTATCTCCCTTGCTCACCAAAAGCAATTCAGGTTTAGCCAAACTGATCAGCCCTTCCCCAAAAAAGTTCACTTACCATCCAGAAAAGGGTTCCAATGGCAAACTCAGAATAATGCTCTATAGTAGACAGTACACTGAATATTAAACAAATCAGCACCAGGAGAAACCTGTAAAAAGAAAACAGTGTTTCGTGACTTGTCAAGTTGAACTGTAAATCTAGATCTAGGTTTTTCTCTGTCTCATTCACATAACTTTTTTATCACAAATACTTTGTGTTTAATCAGTCTATTATTCCTACTTAAATGAGTATTACCATTTTGCTTTCATTCAGCTTTCAGAAACACAGAATAAAAATGACAGGAAGGCTGAACACAGTAAATCAATAGGTAAAGCTCACATTATCAAGTATATTTCTCAGGGAAGGTTGTCATAGTGAATGTTTCGTGTTTCACTGATTGCTGTACAACTTAACAGAGACACAAACTACACTCAGTGGGTTTTGGTAGCTTTTACATGAAAATTAGAGGTGGAAAAGCTTATCAGGAAGGGGAAAAACTCTTGTACAACCTAGAGACCAGTGACAAGATTAATTCCTTTGGAGTTTATCTACGGTCTTGCCCCAGTGGACACTTTTATCAGTGCTCCAGAAGAAGAGATGAAATGCACCTCAAGCCCACAGCTGACACAAGCCCAGGAGTTTGGTCACTAAGCTTGAGGACAGAGCCCCTGGTTAGTGGTGCCTGCACAGGCTACAGAGCAGACATATAGGAATCTCCTAAAACTTGACAGGAACAAACCTCAATCCTACACAAAGCATGGGGAAGAAGACTAAAACATGTCCCCCTGACCTCCCTTCCCCTAATTCCCAGCTCCTGTGCCTCCCTCCCTCACTCATGCCCAAGCAGCAAAGAAGGGTAGGGAATGCAGGGGGTTGTGGTCAGACTACAACACTTTGTCTCTGCCTCTTTTCCATCCTCCTCCTCCTCCTCCTTCTCCTCACACTGCTCCCCTGCTCATTGTGGGCCCTTCCACGAGCTGCAGTCCTTCAGGATAAACCTTCCCCAGAGGCTGCAGGGAATTTCTGCTCTGGGACCTGCAGCACCTCATCCCCCTTCTCCTGCTTCTCTCACCTCTGTGCTCAGAGGTTGTTTCTCACTCTTGCTTTTCCCTCTCTTCTCATAGCCCATGCTGTGCTTTTGGCCTTTCCTCAGGAGCTTTTCCAACTAAGGCCGGGGGCTCAGCAGTCATGTATCCACACAGATATAAAGGAGCACATGAAACAGAATCCCAGAATCATTTAGCTTGGAAAAGGCCTCAAAAGGCCTCAAACTGAGTCAAAACATCAACCCCACAATCCCAGGTCTGCCACAAATCCCTGAGTGTCCCATCTACACATTTTTCAAATACTTCCAAGGATGGTGATCCCACCACTTCCCTGGGCAGCCTGTTCCACTTATTTACTCACAGATGCACTTCATATGTATATAATCTATATATCTAGAGAGACAAAGTTCTCACAACACAGATATAGGATAGAAAATCTACTGCAAAGAGCTGCTTGGATATGGAAAACCCCCAAAACCTGTTGGCCTTGTTACCTCAGAGGGTAGGCTGAGCCAATATTCTTTATGCAGCACATTCAAACCACTACTAGAACCAGGGAAAATGGGACAATGTTGATATCTATGGAGGCCTTCAGCTTTCCTTTTTCTCTTTTTAGAGTGCCTCAGAGTTTTAGACTGCCTTAGGAACCCCAGGAACACTGGACACTGGAAATAATTCTTTGGTATGTTTGATCTGATCATTCACACACTGCGAGGAAATTGGAAGTATGTGCTAACACAGGCAAGGAGGGACAGTTGTTTCTCAGCTGCCACATAGACAACAGCTGACCTCTTCAAGCCTAAAACTGGAATTGAAGTTATAAAAACAAAAGGTCCTACTTCCTTTCATCTGGCTCTGGAAGGACTCTGACCCTATTGAACCACAGGTGGAGATTTGAGAAGATTAGGGCCATCATTAATATACTTTTTTAGATTTCCTAAGTAGTGGTTAGATCTGTACATGTACAATTATCTCTGAATCAAGCTTGCATTTCTTCAATATTTACCTATCCTGATCCACAATATAAGAGAAAAGGGATCCAGATAATACATCTTATTATCATAGAAGGGTAACACCTTTAGCTCAGGACACATCTCAGCCATGCTCTCATGGTTTATGAGTTCCACAACCTCCTCTCCTGGTTTTATGCATTGAGATTCTCTTTTTTTTTTTTTTTTCCCCCATTTCGAAATCACACACTAAAACCATTCAAAGGACCCTTTAAATTCATTTAATTTATGGCACTATATCCTCTGGCCAGTGAGTGTCACTCCTTCCCAATGAATAGCAAGGGCAGCTCACATGAGCTGAGTACAAATTCAGTTGCAGGAGGACAAAGTCAAAGACAAGCACAGATTAATGGTTTAGTGAGGGCATCAAGAACAACAAAAATCCCAAAAGAACAAAACAAAACAAACCACACAAAACCCCCAATCAACCAACCAAAAAAAACCAAAAAACCAAATATTAAAAGAACACCCTAAAATAAAAAGAAAGCCCTGTTGTGGGCAGGCTGTCATCTCCATGGGGACACAGCAACCTACACTGGAAAAAAACGGAAGTAGATCTGCCTGTCCTTTACTGGAATTGCTGAGAAATTGCATTTGAGACAGGTGAGGGACAGTTTCTGGTATTCTCAGCCAGAATTAGAAAGACTTAAGAAGGTAAAAATAACAGCAGTGTGTCAAGGTAGATACAAAACCAAACACAAGGCCAAAATGGTTCTGGTCCAGGCAGTGATCTCACAGTACATGACCACCCAAGCCAGGCAGCAGTTCATGGATGGACACACCCTCCATGTGAAGGACCTGGGACTGCTTTCCCCTTGGATTTGTGTGTCTGGAGGGGCAGGCAGGACAGGGCTGGAGCCAAGAGCCTTGAGGTGCCATTCAGCACCCCTGGTTTACACAGCAGCCCCACAGCACAGCCAGGGTTTAGCCATGCTGGTGATGTTGCTGTGTGCACTTGCAGCAGTTTGTGCTCAGTGCTCACCACCGGCTCTTGGAAAGCAGCCATGGGTGGAGTTTGGTGAGTAAGTGGTATCTGAGGTATGACAAAAGGGCTGCAGACAAGTAGTGGGACCAAGGGTCAAGTCCTCCCTGCACCCCAAGTAAATCCACTCCCAGAGAAACCAACAGTCCTTTTGCACCTTTTCTCTGGCACAGTGGAGCAGCATCTTCTTCCCCCTCTGATATCTCTGAGCCAGCAGTCAGGGCATGCTGCCTTCACAGCTTCCTTTAAGTTACTGTCACTGTCACTGGGCCATACACCACAATGCAGGTTAGCTTTGATGAGTCCACACTTAAACAGCTCAATGAACTGCCAGCTGATCTGCAGAATCCAACAAGCTACACCTCTGCCTCTCAGGCAATCAGCAAAGCTCCTCGTGGACTGCTCCTAACAGCCTCTGGAATGCTAAACATAGTTCTAACCAATTTAAACACACTGGAGGAAAAAAGCTTGGGTGAATGCCAAATTCCCTGTAAAGAGCTGGATGCATGGTCCACAAGCAAGCCCCCAGCAAGGCTCCTCCCTGAATACCTCTGGGTTTGTCTCAGGGTCTCACTGCAGGTGTTGCTTAGAGGGACAAGCTGTCCCTCAAAGGCAGTGCCAAAGTCTACCAGTGTTAACCCATCAGCAAGTGCCAAACAGATCCTGGGTCTCCCTGAATATTTCTGATTGCATTTCTGGGACACCTATAGGTAAGGCAAGTGGATGGGTGCGGGTTTCATATTGCTGGCTTGGGGTGAAGCCATTTAAAGCTTGTCATATGACAATTTCCCTTTCCCCACCAGCTCCAGCCTGGCTTCCTCATGTTGCCCCTGCTATCCATACTCTCTCCTGCAAAGGACAATCCTCTGTGCTGTAAGGGTGAGAAAACAGGGTGTGATTGTTTATTTGCTTGCAGGGAGTTATTGCATCCACAGAGAAAAATTTCACCCACTGGCAGCTGTTCAGTTCCTAAAGGCAGGAAGTTAACAAGGCAGAGATATAAATCATTACCAACTGGTAGAGCTGGTCTACTCTTTCACATTCTAAAGGAACTGAGGTTCTCCTTTCTAGTACTTTGTTCTCTTTCATTCTTTCTGTGATTCTTGAGGATGTTGAGCCACAACCTGAGCTGTTACTTCCGCAAATACATTTTTCCCTTTTCTGCCACAGAGCTACTAAAAATAGTGAGGTATTTCCTCACAAAACACCTGGCATTCTTTTCCAACCTTTTTTTTCTGAAGATGGAAATTTATTCCTGATCACCTATTTGCAGACTCTTCCTCATTCTCTCTTTGAGCAGAAAAAAAATATTTTACATATCAGAGGAAAGAGAAGCACTTGAGAACTTCCCCTTTGGTTTCAGATTCTCATGTAACACCGTTCACACTTACAGAAGATGAAGTGTCATTCTTTCCCAAGAGACACCTTGTTAATGTAAACGAAATTTTAGTATTTCTTGACTTCTCCTCACTTCCTTAAACCTCAGGTATACACAAAAATACAACTGCTTTCTCATCAATGCTTTTAGACCATCATCCTTAAATCTGTCCCATTTAATCTGTTAACCAGATTAAAGAGACAATCCTGTTAAAGGCTGCAAATTAGTGCTTCTTTATGTCCTGGTCCTCCTAAACATTGCTTCCTTTTGGAGAGTAGCTGGAGTGACTGGAAACATGTTTCTGTTGCTGTTGTCACCAGGGACAAATTCTGTTTATTGACCATGAGCACACTTCACTGAAGCCTACAAACACTGGGAACTAGGAGGTTAACTTAACAATTGAGAGCAAAATGATGTCAAGCACTTTCTCCAGGGTGAGCCTTTCAAAGGTCATGCTGTAACAAACTTGTTTTCCATGGAAGACAAGCCTAATGGAAGTTCTTAAAGGAGGAGTAGTCATAATTCCTCCTTTTTAAGTTTTGCAGCAAATAATTCCATTTCTAGCAAAAACTGTGCACATGGGGCTTTGTGTTTATCTCCTGCAGATAAGTGCACTTGAAGTGCTGATATACCAGATGCTCATGGGAATGTTATCTCTTGGACAATAAAAAAGGGATGGGTGTGGAGGGGACA